TATTTGTTAAAAATACAAAAAAAAAAAAACACATAATGGGGGCTTTTGTGAAAGTTGTTTTTAGAAAAATTAGTTGATTTTTTCATATTTTAGACAGTGAATGTTATCGTAGGGTGAGCTTTCTTTTTAAAAACTAATAATAAGTCAAACACTTTTGTTATAACAAACAGTATATTATATACTAATACATTTTATAATATATATTATAAAATGTATTATATAATACTGGTATCTTTATTAAAATTTACAAACAATTAACAATTAATAGTTTAAAAATTTTATTAAATATTTGTGAGTTCAACTAAGTTATATTTAGCATTGTTTGTGCACATAAAACACCTACTGATTTCTTGTACTCTTATATATCCTACTCGCTTCTCATGGAAATATGTTTGCAACCGTTTTTTTGTAGATTGTAGGTTTCAATTCATTAAAAACAGAAAAAAAACTTAAAAATCTAAGTTTAATTATTGAATTTATAATTAGAGTATTTTCCTTGTTGGTTTCAAATAAAGGTAAAACATTCCTGGTTATCTCTGCATTTATATTGCAATTGAAACAACAAAAAATATAAAAAAAAGAGGTTGTTGATATAGTAAGAAAAACTGTAAAGAGATCTGCATGATTTTTTATGTTCCAAAGATAAAGATAAAAAATCTTTTTATGTTCCAAAAATAAAGAGGAACAAAAGTTGAAAAGGTGCTAGAGATTAGAAAGGAAGGAGATAATAATACTCAGTTCGGAGAGTTTCAGTAAGAATTCGCAAAATCCCATGCATAAATACTGATGCTAATAAATTGATTAATCTAATTGAGTGAAAAGATCTAGTATACAAATCGCTACTTACCACAAGCCTCACAACCCATCAAGTCAGAAAATATTTTCACAAGCCTATGGTTGTGCCAGATTGGCCGTGCCATTCTCAATCAATTGAATGTTGAGTTAAGCAGGTTTCTTTTTTATATAATTACAAGAATGTAATGACTTATTTAAAGTTTGTTAAACGACCAAATTGATTTTTATGTTTAATTTTACAGCGGCTATTGCAGATGCATATTTCCATGAGAAGTGAGAAGGATATATAAAAGCAAATAATGCTAAATATGACTTGGTTGGACTCACAAATATTTAATAAAATTTTTAAAATATTAATTGTTAATTATTTGTAAATTTTAATAAAGATATCAGTATTATATATTATAAAATGTAATAGTATATAATATACTGTTTGTTATAACAAAAGTGTTTGACTTATTATTAGTTTTTAAAAAGAAAGCTCACCCTACAATAATATTCACTGTCTAAAATATAAAAAAATCAACTAATTTTTCTAAAAACAACCTTCACAAAAACCCCCATTATGTGCTTATTTTTTTGACTTTTTAACAAATAATGACATTTTCGTAAAATTCCACATGGCATGTATTGAGTTTATCAAATAATTAAAATTATTTTTTTATAATTTATAACTTTTTCTCTTTAATTATTTATATTTTAGTCATTTTCATGTTGAAAACTAACTGTTACCCCCAGCAAGACATACTTTTTTTTTTTTCCAGTCTTCTCAATTCCTTATAAAATTCCCCACAAAAACGAACTCCCCTTACTTTTAAAGTTTAATAAAGACAAGAAAAAAACACACTTCACCGTAACATTTTTTATCTAATATATGAAAAAAGTGCCTGATTTTTGTAAAAATACCCTTCACAAAAACTCATTTTCTGTGATTATTTTATGACTTTTTGAACCAAATAATCAATTTTTTTAAAACTCAACATAACAATAATTGAGTTAAGCAAATACCTCAGAAAATTTTTTTTATTATTATTATAGTTTCGCCTTGTTAATTAATCATATTTTAGTCATTTTTCCGTTCAAAACAATGCTGACCCACCCAGCAAGACATATTTAAAAATTTTTTTTAACAGATTTGGAATCTCCATAAAATTTTTTACGAAAAGTAACCTTGTCATTTTTGAAATTGAAAAAAAAAAAAAAATCGACACACCCTAATGTCTTAGAAGTTTGGCATCCCTTTTATTTTAGTCATTTTTCCCTTTAAAAAATGACTAAAATATGACTAAAAAAAGGAAAAATAAAAAGTCTATTAGTAAATATAAAAAACAGTTTCTTATTTGTAATATTAATAATTAAATTGTAATTAAAATGTAATAAATTATTAAATGTGCTAGAGTTAAATTATTAAACTAAAACTGTCAGATAAATAGAAAATTATCAAAAAATATTTAAAAATTTAAATATATTATATAATATAAAAAATATTTTTAAGTTAAAAAAAACTCAAAGTATTTCTACTTATATTATTGATAAATTTGGTTTTGGTCATCTAATTTTATCTAAAGAAAACTTTGTTGATTCAAATTGTTTTATTAAAAAAGGTGTTGTAACAGTTCTTCGGTGTTTCTATGATTAAGTTGTGTTTTAAAGTCAAGATGATTCATAAAGAACTACTTTTAATAATAAATAATATAGAATATTGTAGTTGACTTTATTATATTATAGCTTAATGTAAAAAAAAAAAAATCAAATTTTTATTAATTTCATTGACAGGTAAATAACATTGATATGTATTTGGTAAATATTTTTTACCAGTCACCATTTGAATCTACCAACAGCCACCTTTTAAATAAACAAATGCTACTATTATCTTTATAATAATAGTACATATATCTAACACAATATGGTGAAAATAATTTAAACCAACTCACAAATTTAATAATTGCTGCAAAACTCTAATAAAAGGGGAAAAAGTAAGAAAAACTAAACTATGCCTTATAAATTAATCTCTCAGTTACACAAAACTAGTAGTTATGTTACTGTGTGTGTATATATATATATATATATATATATATATATATATATATATATATATATATATATATATATATATATATATATATATATATATATATATATATATATATATATATACATATATATATAATATATATATATATATACATATATATATATATATATATATATATATATATATATATATATATATATATATATATATATATATATATATATATATATATATATATATATACATAATGTCAAAAAAAGTGCATCAATATTCATTACAGTGTTATTTTTAATAAAGAAGTTTTTGGAGCAAAATAATAATACAAGATACAAAACATGATACAAAAAAAATGATACAAAAAACTAGAAATAAGATCTTTAAAAACAAAACACTGGTAGAATTGCAACTTTAAAAAAAGTTAAAGGTACCAAGTTTTCTCTACAAAAATATTGTAGAAAAAACTTTGACGTAACTTAAACTTTTTTTAAAGTTGCAATTCTACAAATGTTTTGTATTACCTCAATTTTGTTTCTGCAAATTTATAAAATTATTCTTGTAGCATTATGGCTGTAGCTTTTCTAAGAGATTAATTTTATTTTTAAGACATCAAGACCACACAGATACAGTGAATTTGATTCGGTCTTACAAAAGTTGTGTATATAATTTTTAGCAATTTTACTATTTAAACTTAAAAATGTATTCCTCAACATACCCAAAATTTTATTTGCTTTACTTGCATATAGATTTATTTAATTTTTCAATTTCAATTCAGAGGTAAATACTACACCACGATGTTTTTCAGCGACAGTGGTACTTAAAAGAATATTGTTATACTTATGTTTATATTTAATAAATAGATGTTATATTTAATTAAAAAAATGTAATAGTATTATAATAATTTGTTTTTTCAACACAATGTTTTAAAAATACAACAACTATATAACAAACCTTTTATGCACTTTTATCATTTAATATTTTTCAATGTCTTTGCAATGACATTGCAAATGGAGGAAGCATTTTTTTTAATGGTGAAAAAGTGAAAAATAAATAAAAGAGCAAAAAAAAAAAAATAAAAATAAAAAATTGTTTAGAATAGAAGAATAGAAAAATAAAAGAAATAACGTGAAAACAATTAAAATGTTAAAGAATATATAATTTAAAGAAAAACATGAAATAAACAGAAGAACTAAACGTTAAAAGAATAAAAATAATCGTGATAAATTTGAAAGTTAAAATTTTTTTATAAACAATTCATACAAATTAAACTAATAAAACTTAAAAAATATTATTTTTGTTTCTTTTAATAACTTTTTTTAAAAGTTTTTAAAAGTTATTAAAAGATAAAAAAGATAATTTTAATAACTTTTTTATGTTGTTTGGATTGTTTATACTATCGTGTATTTTTGTGTATTGTTTATAATGTAGTGTGCTTTAGTATATTTTTTATATTGTTGTGTATTTCTATGTTTTGTTTATACTGTTGTGTAATTTTGTGCATTGTTTATAATGAAGTGTACACTTGCGTATTGTATATGTTGACGTGCATTTATACTGTTGTGTAATTTTGTGCATCATTTATAATGAAGTGTACACTTGTGTATTGTTTACGTTGACGTTTTTTTTGTGGTCTTGTTGCTAACTATTTTTATTATTGTTGCTTTTTATGTTTGTTGCTATTTAAGTTATTTCTTTATTTTTGTCTCATTATATCTAACGATATCCTTTTTTTTTTTAATTTTCTTCATTTTTTTTATCATCCTTCTGATCATTAAACGTTTTGTTATCTCATTTGTTTGTTATCTGTCATGTCAGTTTATTCACTTTTGCCCTTTTTTGTGTTATTTGTTTTGCTTTTTTTAAATATTATTTTTCATTTTATTTAATTTTATTTTGGTTGCTATCTATATTACTTTTTTTTTTTACTTTATTTGTTCATTTTATTGAGGTGTCACTCTAATGACTAGTTTTTAACTATATGAGTGACCTAATTTTGTGAAATTATAAATCATTTTGTAAATATTTCAATTTTATGGTTAAATAAATGGATTTAAAAAAAATAAATTACTTTCTTACTTTGAATCATCAGTATTTGTTTTAAAAAAAGTTATTTTGAAATTATGACTGAACTTTCAACAGAATGTTTTAAATATTTATTTAAAAAAAATCTTACTATTATTTCCATTTATAATTTTAAAATCTTTGATAAATCCATCCTGTGCAATACGCCATGGATCTCCAGCATACACCAATACATTAGAAAAAGATTGTGGCATTGTGTTTTCAATGTTACAAACCATTAATTCGTTTAAATACACAGTGTACATATATGTTTCATTGAGTTGTTTTTGTGATACTTTTATGCTTGACCACTCATTCAGTGGTAGTGGTTGGGTTATAATGTTATAGTTAGAATTTCCATTAACTGCAGAAGCAATTTGTAATGAACCTAAGTCATTCGGAATACCAAAAATAGCAGGGATTCTAGATCCATATTTACCATAATCATCTTTAGTGGTTAAGTGAATCACATTTGTCCAAACTTGGGGATACGTCTCTGATTTTAATTTAAAAGAAACTGAATACTCCTTTTCAAATAATGGTATAGATGTAATCAAGTTATCTCGGATTAACATATGCTTGTCTACATTTAACAAATCTGCCGCTAAAACAATTTCCAATAAATTAGAAAAAAAATGTATTTCTGGCTCTTAATTTCAATATATAATTTTCAATTTACTTACTTGCATAATTATAACATAATTGTAAATAACAAATAAAGAAACACATCATAAATAATTTACCTCATATTATAATATTCTACCTCAAAATGAATATTAAAACCAATTATGTTAAAAAAACTTCAATTGAAAAGATTTGACAAAAAAAAATTTAATTTAAATTTTTTAATTTAAATCTTATATATAAAAATTAGTTATTTATTAGTTATGGGTTACTTTTTTTCAGGTACTTCTTTTGTTTGGATAGTTGTAGGACTATTATGTAGGACTTACAAAGCAGTCATGACCCATTGGTCATATGATTGCTTTGTAACCATTTGTTTTTTCTTATTTGTATATAAAAAAAATCTTTTTGTTGTAAGTTTTTGAATGATACACAAGTCATCACATTCAGATTTCTTATAACATTTAAGCCTTTCAGTGTTTTTTCTAAGACATACACATACATATACATAGTTTTTAAGCTTCAATTAGGCCATGCTGCCTACACATTTTTCACATAGCCTTAACTGTTTCATATTACCTTTTTCCTGTACATTTTTATCCCCAATCTATTGGTGGAGACATGTTTCTTTTTAACATTTGGCTCTGTGCATGTGTAAAAAAAAAATTAGGAAGAGGTGGGTTTTGAACTATGGACAATTTGCTTAAGAATTAAACACCTTATCCAAATAAGGTTCGCATACTTAAGTATAAATAAATATAATTATATAATACAAGAAGTTATAGATAAAAGTATACCCATGCATTAAATAGACGTTTTCATATAGGGACAATATATACTTGTTAAAATAAAACTATACAAATATTTTTTTTAAAAACAGATTTTAATTAGTATTTTTGCTTTCCTTTTTAAAAAAAAAAAATTAGGAAAATCATACTTTTTAATGGCGACTTAAAACTGTTTTTATTTTTTTAATTATTTTTTTGCTTTGCCTTATCTAATTTTGTAGCTGAAAATAACAACTAAAGAAACAAAAATAAAAAAAGTACAACAATTATTTTAATAATTAATTAATTTTTATTTTTTTCTATTTAAATTTATTTTAATTTTCTATTTTGTTTGTTTTGCTTTTTTATTTTTGAAACTTAGTTTTTTCTGCAATGAATAATATAATAAAACTTGCTAATGGCTGTGACCATGCTGTCTAAAATGAAATACTCACATGTGGTCATGCAAGTCAAAAAACTACACACGTTCCTGGTAAGGCTTGCTATTCAATCGTTTTTGTTCTTTTACATGAATGTAAGCTTGTTTATCAAAATACATTAAAATCTGAGAAAAAAAGGGTGTCAAAAATTTTTTTCAGTTGATTCGACATGGAATGACCCTTTTTGATAGTAATAGCTTTTAAACAGCTTTCAAATAGCTTTCAAATTTAATTTTAAATTAAACAACTTTGTTCTCCATTAGTTATTAAAAATAAATTTAAAAAAAAGGCAATTCAAAAAAACAATCATATATAAAATATAACATAAAACATAAAAAATGGTTTTGGAATGTTTTGCTGCAGTTAAATAAACTCAAAGAAAATTTTTTAGAAAAGCATTTTAACCAACAACTGCTGATCCAATTTTTCAAAAATGATTCAACTGATAATCTAATTTGATAAACATTTATTACATTAGTACAAAAGTGTACTTTATGTGCAATGTACACATTGCACTCCTGTACTAATTTACTCTTTTGTATGTACTATGAAAATAATACAATTTATTAAATTTTGAAATATTTTTTTATTTAAAGATATGTTTTCATTTATTCATACTAGCAATTAATAAAACTGGAAATAAATTACTTACGTACGGTACATTTATGTACCTCATAAATGAATACACTGTACAAAAGTACTTTACTTCTGGTTTGGTCAATTTCCAGTTTTGTTAATTGCTAGTATTTATTCAATATTAACAGAAAGAATGAATGCACCTAAAACTACTTGATTCAATTTGGATAAAAAAGAATCAAAGTTTTCACTGTATTTGGGGGGAAGTAATGATCTTAATCCTTCAGAAACGCCTTCAAATCTTAAAACTTCAGAAACTATAGAGATATCCTGAGGAAGGGCCTTTTAATACAAGAATGTTTGCTCATTGAAAAAGATATTAACAAGCATGAAAAGTCACATTTAAAGAAAGAAATATTGTTTATATTTACTTGTATTCACTAAGCTAAAACTTTTATTATTTGTTTTATTTTCAAGGAGGATTTCTGTAAGAAAACTAGTGTACAGTTAGCAGACGTGGTTCTTCAACAATAGACAAGATCGAACGCTCTTATCAAGTTTTTTGTGGTAATGAACAAGATATCTTTGGTACAGAAAATAGAATTAGCCTGGAATAAGTTTAGTGATATTTCTAGAGGAAAAGCAGCCTAAAAAATTGTTTCTACCTGGGAAATCAAATTAGATCAATTGCTTGACCTTACATCTTGTAAATGTGAAATCACATTATGTAATGAGAAGTGCTCAAAATTAAATAGTTGTCTAAGTTTTGCACATATTCAGTGTACCTGTTCCAGGGAAAAAAAGATTCCAAAAAGTGAACTTATTTGGTTAAAAGCTGAAAGAGAAAAAACTAGTCACTATCAAAATATCAAATGATTTGTAAAGATACCATAGAAACAGCTAGACAGGTTTCTTTAGAAAAGAGGAAGCTGAAAAGAAAGTCAAGTCTAGAAAAATAAATTAAAAAAAAAGATGAGGAAGAAACTTCAAAGAATAAAGATCTTGTTAAGTCTTTTACAAGTGATGATAATTCAAATAGAATAGAAATGGAAGATGAACCTGCTTTAACTGATAACTGGAAATTAAATTTAATGTCTATTAGTAATACTGCTGAAGCCTCTTTGAGATTTAATATTTCACCAGCTGCAACATCAGCAGTAGTTTCAGCTTTTCTTCAAGACCTTATTCTGGGTAACTTTTAACATCTGAATCTCCTATTTGGCTGTAGATCCTAAGAGAGTTGTTAGAGCTATGACTAAAGCAAAGACATCTGAAGAAATGAAGATTCAAGTACAACCTATCAAAGTATATTTGCTGATGGCAGAATAGATTTTACCAGAGTTTTAAAGCACAACCTTGTAACATAATGATTTCATCAAGGGGTTGTGAAAAAAGAACACATTGTTACTTACAAACCTGACAGTCACTATATTACACATTTTACACCCATGAAGGCAATACCTCCCATTAAACCTGTTAAAAAAGCAGCCATTATTTAATTGGATGGTTCCTCGAGGAGAACATGAATCTCTAGAAGTAATAGAAGGAGATTCAACAAACGCTGTAACTAGTTTAGGGAAAGATTGAGGTTTGTTGACAAATCTTGAACAATTGTTGGGTAGAAAGTGTTTCTGGTCTATTTGTATGCTAAATTGCAATGAGCTTCCTTTGAGGCAAATTATTGTCACTTTGGATGGACCCACCAATTTAAAAATTGTTATACTGGACCAATTGAAAAGCTCTTTCAAAAGTGAACAGTATGGAAAAACTTGATACATTTGAAACTATTGTGCAGTTGGAACCATTAACCAGATCCCTGAAAAAATTCCAAGTTCAATGTCAACAGATTCATCTCTCTGCTATAAACTGATTACATATTTGACAACAGGCAAGTTGGACCCAAATCTTAAAAAGGCTAAGTGTGGCAATCTTTCCCATAGCAGATGGGTTACTACTGAGGTTTACTTTAGATTTATCTTCTACTGTTCTTGCCTGTCACTTTTTCAAAGTTACTTTATATCTAATATGTAATAAACATTCAAAAAAACATATCCAAGTATGTAAGGATGATAAACCAAATGAATAACTGCCTGTCATACCCTTTTTCAAAACCATTTTTTCAATATCATTTATTGCTATGGGACTTGCCCCACATATAGTACAGCATTGACTTGAATTTGTAACATCTGAAAGAGCAGTATGAACTTTTCCATCAATCATAGTAATTTGTATTATGATGTATTTTGATTTTTTTATTATTTATATCAACTTCAGTATCTTGCAAGTTTGAAATCTCAACCCTAATAAAATCCTCTTCTGATTTAGAAACTGCTGCCGTTTCTTTTTCAAATTTAAAACGCAGAGGTCTACAGTACATTGTTGATGATGGTCGTAGATTTCGCCAAGCTGGGTACCGTTTTCCATTTGAAAAACCACACAAGTCCAATGGCGCTAGGCAAATAATAAAAAGTGCCTGCTCATTGTTTAAATTTTTTATTACTGTTCCTTGCGATATTTGTTTATATATAGACTGTCCTGTGGCACCATCAAAGCCTATTTTGTATCTCAGAGAAAGTCTATCTGGAGTGCCTTCAGTGCTAAGGACATCATATTGTGTCTTGAATATTCTATTTGCTGTATGATCGACCAAAGCTTGCAGTTTTATTTCAGACAGATATATCTGCAGGATAACATAACAGCTTTGCATCTCGACCATCATTATATGGAGGATATATATCAACTCCCATTTCAACTGCTTGATTTCAAATAATTTGGTAGGAAGCTTTTGTCAATCTAGCATCTAAAAGAAGACAAAGAGCTTCATCTTTAGATATTCTACAATCTTTTTTTGAGGTTTTTTCAGTTGGATTTTCTTTTCTCTGTTTAATTTCAAAGCAAATTGTAACACAGAAGTAGAATACATTTCAGTTAAGTAACTAACTTTATGTTTGTTGGTTTTAGCTATCAAAGTTTGTCTTATTTGGTCTTCCAATAGGTATTGGTGTTACATTTAAATCTTCATGAATCTTTGCAGCCTTTTTTTGTTCTTTTCTTCAAATCGAGCCATGCTGCAAAATGACTTGTGACACTTATCTTGTAGATGCGTTATTAAAGTTCTTAATTGGTGCTTATTACAATCCAAATTCATAGCATCAATAAGTTTGTCCACAATACCAGAGTCAGATATTTCTAGATTA